TTCGCTCGGATCGGAGTGTCGGCAAGAGGATGTCTGACCCGGATGTGTTCCTCGTCAAGGATGACGGTGGTGTCCGGTCGGGGTCAGGGTGGATCCTTTTGGTTCAACGGCCCAAACTTATGTGGTCATGGATCGGTAGAATAAAACAAATACAGGTGTGAGCCCTTCAAGACCACCGAGCAGCCAGAAGGTCGCCGGTATTCTAGATGGGCCATCTAGTTTGATGCCATCGCAGTCGCGTCATGTCAAACTGTTCAGGAAGGCGTACACTGGTACGGCAATGGATCACGGACTAGCCCTGTGGCCACCACTCCGCAAGTCACATGGACGGCAGTTCTGAGTAGAGGAGGATGGAGGGTATTGATTCTTTTCATTATTCTGGGCACGTAAATGCTTCCAAAAGCTCACCCTTTGTGAATATCTCTGCAGGCGATTCCCCCTAGTGGTACATACTAGCGCATACACATCTTTTTGATTCAACCCTCAAGGCTAACGTACGGTAAACTCTATGGTAATCGTAGCCGAGCAACCTTTCCATCTACGTCTCCCCTACCTCCGATTCACAGTCGAAGAGCGCTTCCTCCGACCGAATTTGCGTGACGGGATCATCCCAATCCACCTCCTCTGTCGTCAACAACGCCAGCTTTCGCAATCGCTCTTGTGCGTCGCTCAGAACACGGAGCTGGTGATCAAGTCTCTGGATGATCGAGTTGATGCGGTCGATGACAAGTCGCAGTCCGGCTATCGTGGTCTTCGGGGACACCGGATCGGGAACGCGGTTGCCATCGCGGGGATTTTCCATGGTCGACCCTGCGGCATCGCAGCCGACGAGAGCCGTAAGCTCGCCTCTCGTCCGACTTTTAGATCGCACCTTCTCGGGAGAGATCCCGAGGCGCGCAAGCGTCTCCTCTAACGTCTGCTGGCTGACCACCAGAGGAGGGTCATCCGGTACGTCCGACTGACAAGAGTCCGTGTCGAGACGCATGAGCTGCCTGATATCATGAAGTGGTCTGCCCGCCAGCCCCGTCAGTCCGGACACGAAGACGATCGTGATATTCAGGGACACAACACCACGGACGCTCATGCTGATCATGTACAGGCGTACTGACGCCTGAGAATGGGCTGTGAACGATGAGATGACGTGTAGAGAATTGCCGCGGGACGATGGTTGAAACGATATCTTCCGAGGCACTGGGATTATATACTACGATGGCATCATTACATTTGACAAATTCACTCATGAATGGAAATGCCGCCGTGATCTTTTAAATGCGAAGTACTCAGCTTGCCCGAAATGAGCTTTGAGCGCTCGAAATTTCACTGGTTGTTTTGGCTCTCTGTACGATCCAAGATGGCTACTTCCGTCCCTTATCCGCCGTCTCTCATCTGGTTTTGTATGAAAAAGGCGCTCGCTTTGACTGGGAAAGAAAGCCGTACATCACCCGCCGAAACCCCTCAGCATCTCGATCCCTCTTCTACAGTACAGTCTGCGCGAGAGCGAGCGTAGTCATAATCAGACACAGTGACAAATCTGCGATAG